GAGAAGGATACTGCTTATACCACTTCTCCTACTCAACATTTATAGGAGGCCTTAGGATAATAAAGCAAGAAAAAGAAAATAAGAAGGTACAAAGATATGAAAGTAGAAAACAAACTGTCATTATTTTGATTCTGTATATAAAAAATTCAATAGAATGTACAGGACTGGAGCACATGTGCAAATTCAACTGAATATTTTCATGGGAAAACGGTTTGAGAATACTACCTTGCACCATACGCAAAAATGGATTCCAGGTGTAAATGTAAATATGAAAGGTAAAGAGCCAAAGGTTCTAGAAGATAACAGGATAATATTTTTATAACTTTGGGAAAGGCCAAGTTTTAAATAGGATACCAAAAATGTTAACTATAGAGAAAAAGATTCATAAGTTTGACTGTATTAAAATTAGGAACTTCTGGTTACCAAAAGATACTATTAAGTGAGGAGGCAAGTAAGAGTGGGAGAAGATATTTGCCATATACATAATCAACAAAGGGCTTATATCCAGAATATATAAAGAACTCCTACAAATCGATGAGAATAAAGACAATCCAATAGAAAGTTAGGCAAGGAAATTGAACAGACACTTTACAAAGGAGAATATCAAAATGGCCAATAAATACATGAAAAGTTGCTCAGCTTTATTCACCAGATACATAATTAAGACCACAACAGGAAGTTACTACACACTGACCAGGAAAGCTAAAATTAAAAGACCAATAATACCAAGTGTTGGAAAGAATATATAACAAGAAGAACACTCTTACTGGAGTAGTAACTGGCTCAAACAGTTAGGAAAACAGTTTGGCATTACCTCCTAAAGCTGACCCTATGCATATCCCATGACCTAGCAATTCCACTCTTGGAAATATACCCAATGGAAATGTGTACACATGTGCACCAAAAGACACATACAAGAATGTGTTTAACAGTATTATTTGTAATATTCTCAAGCAGGAAATAAGTCAAATGCCTGCCAACAGTAAACTGGATAAATTGTAGTCTCATACTATGGAATACTATAGAGAAAAAAGAATGGACCAACTACAGCCATATAAAACAATGTGGATGGTGAACCTCAGAAATAATGTTGAGCAAAAGAAGCCAGACACAAAGAACACATATAGTATGATACCATTTACATAAAATTTACAAATGGCTGCAACTAACTCATGACGTTAAAGGTCAGGATAGTGGTTACCTCGGGAGCAAGTGGAAGGAGTGACTGGAAGGGGATGTGAGAGGTGCTTCTGGAGTGCCACCAACGTTCTGTTTATTACCTGCGTGCTAGTTACCCTTTGCTCCCTTTGTGATAATTCATCCCGCTGTCCAGTTCTGATCTGTGCATATTTCTGTATGTATGTCGGAGTCAATAAAAAAGTTGTTGTTTTTTTTTTAAACAGGCATAAAAGATCACTTGTAGCTCTCTAAAATAGGCAGATCACTGAGGGCTCACGGCGTGTCTAGGGATGAGTCCTAAGCACTTGGATTTTTAAAAAGCATCACCAATAATTCCAGCCTGCGCTGGAGGTGAATAGCCGTAGATTGAAATACTTGGTGCAACATTATGGATCTCTTTCCCTTCTATGGAAGGCAGGGCCAAATGACCCACAGACCCACCCTGGAGTCCTATCCAAGGAGCAATATATACATATATTTTTAACCACTCCGGGCACATCAGTATATAGGTATCAGTGCAAGAGTAATCCCTCCCTCAAGGAAAAAATTAACCAACAACCCGCAACTCACCAGCGGGAACACTTGGTCGTCACTAGCCAGGGGACTTGTCATTTCTTTGGTGTGAAATGGCAAAGGCGGTAGTGGAGGCGTCACACTTCGGTTTGGCTCACGATCTGGGCTAAGTCGAGGAGAGAAGGATGGTCCTCGTTTACCGCTACCAGACACGGCTTGTTCATGCAGCCAAGGATTTAAATTTCTCTCTCGTCTAACAAGGGGGGAAGCAGGACAAAAGCTCTGGGCTTCTTACCTCAGTGTCTCTTTGAAAATCATCTTCCAGATGAGTCATTTCTAATGGTTAATAGTGGCAGTTGTTAAAAACATTCTTCTACTCTTATTGCCCGTATCGTATCCCTTTCTGTGTTCTACTTTCAGGTCTCTTTGCCATTTAATTAAATAACATGGTACCAGTTTGGGAAGAATCTCAAAACAGCTCACACTGCTGCCCTTGACAATTCTAAATAATCCTCTTTTTGTATTCTCTATTTCACTTAACCTTGCTGGCTTTCTTAAAAGAATTATGCTGCTTCTTTTTTTTTTTATGCTAGAACAAGTCCTTGTACAATAATTCTAATTCCTATAGGGCTTAATAATTTGTAACATTTTGGGGCGCCTGGGTGGCTCAGTAGGTTAAGCGACTGCCTTCGGCTCAGGTCATGATCCTGGAGTCCCGGGATCGAGTCCCGCATCGGGCTCCCTGCTCCGCGGGAAGCCTGCTTCTTCCTCTGCCCCTCCTCCTGCTCATGCATTTTCTTTCTCACTCTCTCTCAAATAAATAAAATCTTTAAAAAAAAAATTTGTAACATTTTTTCAATTTATATCATCTGCTAACCTCTTCCACACTTAGTAGTTGTATGACACTGACCTTGAGCAGGAAACTATCTTTCTGTGACTTTAATTTTTTCATTGATAAAAAATGGGTTGTTGGGAGAATTGAACTCCACAGTTGGGATGAAAGGTATAGTACAGAATTGGTTGTGTGTGCTAAAATATAAGGTAGAAGATGAGACTGAATAAAATACCAGTGAGATTTTAAATTTTGGTATGCTGACTAAACAAATGAATAACAAAACAAAAACCCGAACCAATTTCCAGTAAAATTTTATATAAAAACGTCCTAACAGGATGAGCTATTTGGGACTAAATAAATATCTTTCTGAACATTAATTCATGAAACTGGGGTTGAAATTTAATCAAAATCATCAAAGCCCATGAAAACATAAGAATCCCTTCAACTTAAAATTATTTATTCATTTTTACTGATTATTCAAATTCTCCACAGGTATTGATTTACCATTTTCAAAGCCTTCATATTTTAATTTCACGCAGCTCCAAAAAATTCACATTATTGTTCTCTGCTCTTATCCAAAGACTATCTGTCTGTACAGGCTTGTTTCCTATTATGTAAACATTTTCAAAGTGATGCATACAAATAACAATAAAAGTTAAGTGAGACATCTGTAAATTAGGACATAAAAACAAACACAACATGTTTTCCATTTTTACTTATCTCGAAATATATCTTTTTTTAAATCCATTCTTCCAAACAATAATTACCAGGGAAACAGAACAGCAAATTAAACTGAAATAACATGGTTTATGATGTGCACGTTAAGATGAAACATCCCACAATTCAGATAGAATTGCAACAATTGCAGAGTACATGTGCATAGAGTCTCCAGCTAAACCTTTTGAGTGAGGCTACCATCTATACTTCAAAGCACAGTGGGAAAAAATAAGATAATTATAGAAGGGACTCAAGAAATATATATCTCCTTGTAATCTCCATTATACAAAGATTTCAGGGAAAGTATTATTTGTCCTGAATTTTCTACAGAATTATCTCAACTATCCATTTTGCTTTGGCTGTATCGATACAGTTTTACAGTGTTAATTCTTAAAACTTATATATGAACATGCTTTTTACTGTAAGAGTCATAAAATGTAGAGATTGAAAGGGAAGACTCCATTATGGAGTAAAATCCTTTTGCTTTAAATCGTCTTTATATCTGAAAAGTTCTTCTTCTAGAATGCAGCTATTCAAATACTTCATAAAACCACCTTGCAAAAAATGCTCAGTCTATCAATTTAAAAGCTATCCTAAAGGTTATTTCCAAAGGCTTTTATTTCCCTCTCACAAGCTGGTCTTTTCAGTTAGCTTTTCCACAGGCCCTCGACCAAGGCCTCTGCCTACTTCGGCCGGGAGGGCAGGACCCAGTTGTTGCTGGGAGCAGAACTCTGCCCCCTTGAGACCTTGGAGTCAATTGTCTGCAGTTTTCAGAGTTGTCTGACTGTACGTCCATTCCTGGCCCTCTGTTAATTTTCCCTGGGCTACAAGATAATGTCCTCAGCATGGAACAGGATCCTTTCACAAGTGCTAATTTGCCTGCTTCCAGCCTCACCTTCTAACACTCCATGTGATGCTCCCTGGTCTATGAACTCCTCATTCTCCCTGGCCCACAACTCTTCAGCCTGCTATGTTTTGCTCCTTATTCAGTAACACCTTGGTACAAAATTTTCTCAACTTACTTTTTTTGCTTCTAGATGACTATTCATTCCTTGGTGAGGGATTCTGTGAGAGTAGTTATGACAAACCTACCGACTTTGTGGTTTTCTTAGTATTAGAATCTTTTTATTTATTAAACTAGATTTGAAGCAATTTTAATGATTAATATTTGTGATCACTAAACTCTCTCCAATACATGATGTAACCTTTAAAACCATACATTGACTTTTACGTATGTATCATATATAGAGATGAAACCCCATTTATTACAAAATTGAGTTGTCATTAAAATTAGTCATGTTAATTGCTCTGGATACCACTATTCCAAATTAGCTTGTAAATTATCCTTAAACTTCAAAACTCTAACTTTTAAAAACTTTAAAAATGTTCAATACATCCTCACCAAATTCAATTACGTCTTACTCATAATTTTTTTTTAAGTGCTGAATAACTTTCTTATCGGAAAGCAAATCTGTTGGAATATCCTAAAATGCTTTGCATTTTAAGTGGATGAGCATGAAGAACTTATTACTTCTAATAGGAATGAAACAACAACAAAAATTGGTTTACTTCCGAGTGGATAAAAGATTATTTAAAAATGTATTATGTGAAATAAGTCAATCAGAGAAAGACAATTATCATATGATTTCACTCATATTGGAATTTAAAAAACAAAACAGAGGATCACAGGGGAAGGGAGGGAAAAAGAAAATAAGATGAAATCAGAGAGGGAGACAAACCATAAGAGACTCTTAACCATAGGAAATAAACTGAGGGTTGCGGGAGGGGTGGGGGGTGGGGGGATGGGGTAACTGGGTGATGCGCGTTGGGGAGGGCATGTGATGTGATGAGCACTGGGTGTTGTATGCAACTGATGAACCCCTGAACTCTGCCTCTGAAACTAATACACTATATGTTAATTAATAGAATTTAAATAAAATTTAAAAATAAAAATGTATTATGCGAATCTTCCTCAGCTAAAAGGAGGAAGCGGCTAAAAAAGTTAGACTTGAAAATTTTGTGGGGGACGCCTGGGTGGCTCAGTCCGTTAAAGCGTCCTGGGATCGAGCCCTACATCGGGCTCCCTTGCTCAGTCGGGGTCCTGCTTCTCCCTCTGCCTGCCACTCCCCCTGCTTGTGCTCTCTCTCTCTGACAAATAAATAAAATCTTAAAAAAATGTTTGTGGAACACTATCTTCATATAATTTTACCTAAAAGCTTTCTCCTTTCTAAAATAGTTTAATGAGACCTCACCGCATTAGCCATTGCTATGTAAATATGACTCCGTATTTTCTGATGATTTTTATGCCTAACAAATATATATAGCTTTTACTATTTGGCTTCACTGAGCTGTGCGAGGGAAAGAAGGAACATTTCATTTTTCACTTGCTAAAATTAATAGACATGTACTTTACAGCCCTCCACTGCTGAGCCCGCTGTCCTTGCAACTCAACAACACTTTCCCCATAGCGGGTTCTACATGGTAATAATTTATTCAGAACATTTGAAATGCTGTTTCTTTTAAAAATCAGGTCACTGGAGAACACTGAAATCAGACAAGGCATTAAAACAAATTTAATGAAACTTTCAACAGATGAGACTGGCAGGACACAAGGCTCTGCAGCAGGGATAGTAGTCCAAACTGCTTATTAAGATAATCTCCTGCTGAGCATTTTACCTCTTGTGTTGCTTTCTGTGTCCCCTACGGTCTTGTTTTTGTTAGGTGCTTTTAACACATTCTGTGCCGCCCAACAAAGAAAAGAGGGGGCAATCCAAACAATAAAATTACTTTTTAAAAATAATAAAAGGCAGAGTAACTGCCTTTTAAATAACTCCTGATACCTTCATCTAAGGCTTAAGGCTTTCAAAGTTATTCCCAACAAGCAAGAATAGGAAACAATGTTCCGCCCCTAATGGGGGCTCAATGCAGGCCAGTCCTGACTAACATCCACGGGAAGATCCTTTATCATATCTTTAGGCGCCTGCTTTTCTCTTGACAAGGAAAAAACCGTATACATGGGTTCGTGATTTGACCCACGGAGAAATAAATCTGTAGAGTAGGGAAGCACTTTGAGAAGGGTTTATTCTATATTAGGAAAAATACTTCTATGCCACAATCAAAATGAGCCCCGTTTTGGACAGATTTTCGGTTCTACTGGCCAGCAGGCATGAGCACATTCAGCGGAGGGCTGGCCCATGGCTCTGCCTCAGTGACCTGTTCCATCCGCACCCCACCTCCCCAGCCCCGGCCAGAATGCTCCCATCAGTTGTCTTTTAGGGTAGCAGCCAGCCTGCCCTCATTTCCTTCCTGAACTACTTGAAGAAAGGTTATTAATTTAGCACTTTTGAATGCTGGCTGTTTCTTGCATCGGGTTAGGACATATCCTCTAACACAGGGCTGAGGTGATACAGGTAGGAGAGACACACACGACATCCGCAAGAATGTTGAACAGACCTATTTTTTGGTATGTCCCATGGATTTACAGATTTAGCCACCTGTAGAACTGGGCATGCCTAGTTATAAAGATGAGCCTGGCATCACCCCTCCTCCACAGGACTATCTCTGAGGAAATGTCAGATTCAGCCATTTGGCCATCAACACCGACTTTTTAGGCACTGTGAGTTGTTGAAGAAGTATTCATATTATTATAAATGCTAAAAATTTTGTTAGTAATAATAATATCAGTAAGAATAGCTAACATTTATGGAAATACGTGGTTTACATGGAACTATGTGTTCTTCTCTAATTCTCACAAAAAAACCTTGTAATTATTATCCCTATTTATCAATGGGAAATTGAGGATCACAAAAGTTAAGTAAATTTCCCAAGGTTGTAAATATTACGTTATATGAAAACAGTATGCAAGGTTTTCCTGCTAAGTATTATGAGTTCTTGAGCAAAAGTTGTACTGAAGTTGGGTCCTATCAATTTACCATTTCGCGGCACCACGAAATGTCAATAAATCTGATATTAAATAAGTTTGAGGAGTGTTGCACACCACATCCCTTCTTGAACCTCACAATGTACATTAGCATATTAATGACTCAGAGCTGCCCTGCTAGAAAAGAAACTTATTTTGCTGAGAATTTTCCAAGTCTTGAAAAAGAGTGAAAAGTCTCCAGAGACAGATTTGATTCCATAAATATTTTATTAAAGTTGAATAAATTAGTCTGATTTTAGAGTTGACATATTTACTTAAATTTTGAACTAACACACTTTAAAAGGGGATCATGTGGATGGCAGATATTAATTCTCCACATGCTTCTCTTCACTCAGAGGAAACCTCTCACCCCTTGTCCGGTTCTTCCCTGAGGAAGTGACCACCGCTTTGTTGCTGCTGCAGGAGCGTCGGTATAAAGACTATATTTTGAAGTTAACTCGGAAGTGACACCGTCCTATATTTCTACTTTGAACAATATATGTAACATATGAAAATCTAGTTTTTCTTATGACATTAAAAAATATTTGCTTGTATATTCTGTTGCCACATCAGTGTCTAAGAAGCGTCTGAAGTGACGAAAATTCACTCTAACACTACCCATTTCCCTGTTAGATTTCGAGAGCTATCGATAGCACAGAATTTCATAAAAAACAACAGGTCTATCCTACGCATTCTCACTGTAAAATAAAATTTAAACAACTGAAGAGCAAGTTTATAAAATTCTATTTTGAATTGTTTCAAAATACATTTCTATTAAATGTGCACACATTTGTGTCCTCATATAAGGGAGTTAACATACCTATCTTCATGTTTTTCCATTTTTATTTGGTTTTGATAGGTGTACAGTCCCATTTCCTCACAGGCATTTTGGTTAGCCCATGCTGATTTGCCATTGGCATGAAGTTTTGCAAGATCATTTCGGAGCCTTTCATTCTCATATTCCAGTTTGTTAATAGATGTATGCCTTGAATGTTCTCGGTTAGCAAAGTCCATACTCTAGAGAATAAAAAAAACAGCACTGTGATGCATATTTTCTGTGCGTGGAAGGGGTCTTCCACTGGAGTCCAAAGATACAGCTCTACTCCTGGGTACCTCCTACAGCCCCTTCCCGCTCTCACCTCCTCACAATACACTCAGTGAGTATAGGTGCCACTGAACACTTTGCAAGAAAAGCAATGCATACACTAGTGTCCGTGCTCACGTACGCATTAGCATTCTCTGTATCTAGAGCAGACCGGCTGGATTAAAGAGTTTTCATGTTTATAAGGTGTGCCTCTGGTGTTAATAACGGAACCAGAATTAACATACATTTCAATTCTGAAAGACTTTTTCTCTGAGGACAATAACACGTCATTATAGAAAATCATATACTGATTCCCCACTGTTGGGGGACGCAACAAGTTATACACAAAATCCATACAGACTAGAGTCTGCTTCTGGACCATTCTAAAGATCTCACAGCTGAGATGGTGCCAGCACCACAGTTTTGAGAGGAGTGTGGCTCCATGATGAAGTTTTACTATCTGGTATGTGCCGCCCAATTTTTAATGTGTCTTAAGAAGAGAATGTGAAACATGTTTAAATCACAAAATGAGTGGTTTAGAGCAAGAACAAAGATTTCTGATGCTTTTTGAATTAAATGCTGTAAGAAGTTTCTTAGGGAGAGTCTAAACTTTTCTTCTCGCACAGTTTTAAAAAACAGGATATATTCTCACAAGAAAACTCATGAAAATGCTTTAAATGAGTCTACATAGTCCTTTCTGGTCCTATGATGTAGGTATCTATGAGTCATGTAGTTGCTGATTCAACAATACTTCTAACAATACGCTTCTAGCACAAAAAGCGTAACATGGATAAAGTATCATTTTTGAAGCTCCAAACTTCTGTGGTTAAAAGCTCATTAAGACTATAGATGAAAATGGCTTAGAACTTTTATTTTGAAGTTTCTAAATATAAGGCTTTGACATGGAAGACATTTCATGGGCTAGGCACCCCATAAGTCATTACAATTTTTTTTGACGAAACTGCACGTTCTAAATTATTCATATACTATCGGATTAGTATCAGGATTGACAAATAAGTGTAGAAATGCATATATATTAGGTATTAAAAATGTTTACCTATTTGTTTTATTTTTTTGCTTCCAAGGCCAAGCCTGCTTACTACATTTTCTGTTTACTGCCTAATGTGTTATAGAAGCTCATGAATCTTTAGAATGAAAGAAAATTCTCCAGGAGGGCAAATTCCCTCAAAACAATACAGGAAGGGTTATGTGTTTATGCAGCTATGGATCAAGGTGCCCTTTGGAAAAGAAGGACCTTTGACGGTATTTCTCTGCTTGGTAGGCCCTTGCCTTTAAGTATGCCTTCACATTTGTTCATTTGAGATACACCAGTGCAGATAAAAGAGTAATCTGTACTACGCGCTACAAGAGAAAGGATTGGTTATTATAAAATGAGAGCAGATTTGCAATACATATATAAACGAGGTGGTCTTATAAAATTTTGCCCTTCATAAGGAAAATACTCATTTGAGCAGATCTGGCCAAGAAAGGTCATGGAAAAGATCCAAAATTTTACTCCTAAAAAAAATAATCTATTCATCAAAATATATAATTCTTGATTGTCTGCTGCTCAGTTATAACTTTATTTAAGCTTTTCCTATAAAATTAGATTTCATCTGTAATTCTTTTTGGCCCAGTGTTGGTTTAAAGTAATTAAGAATGAGAGGAATAATTTTTTAAAGACTCCATAATTTTCTACATGCACCATAATTAAATAAGTGTTGTGAGCATGACCTGAAAAAATTACATAGGTGATGTATTTACATGATTTATATTTAAAAGCATATTCTATTTTCCTTGACAACAACATTTTGGGGCTTTCTCATTTCATGTTTCTTTTAAATATTTTTCTAGTAATTTCAGGAAATAATCCTCCACTAGATGGTTATCATGTGAAAATAGGCACTGATTAAATTCTATCTCAGTATTTCTGATGGCTTATTTTATAGGCCTGTTATTCCAAATTTTTCCCCCAGATTTTAGGGGTTTATAGTTTTAACCCATTGCTTCATTCTTGAAAAGGCAAAACCTCCTAGTGCCTACATGCTTTGACATGAGGCCAGTTGAGTTACTGAAGTGTTTGGATAATAGTACTTTATATGTACACTTTTTCTTTTAAATTCATGTATATTCAACAATAATAGGCTAACAAAGTATTTCTACAGAAGGACCAGCTTTAATCATGTTTTATGGTTAGTATATTAATTTTTAATAGGTAAATGGATGGATTAGATACTTGTGAGGGTACTAATTTTTTAGGTTAATATTTGGCAAACTTTATGGATAGTGACGGGCCAATTAGTTAAAAATTACCATAAATTCTGAGTTCTGATTAAGTCTGATTTTATGATACCTTTCTTAAATGAAGGAAAATTTACTAAATACACTTATGGGTCTAAGGTAATATGGAATCACAAAAAACTATCATGATAAACTTGATTTTTTCAATAGCTACCCCAGGGGAGAATAAAGGTCAACTCCTCACACTTGTCTTTATGTAATCGTTCTTGCACAAATCCAGGAAAACATCTTCTTCAGAGCTACTTCTGTTGCTATTTTAAGCAGCTCATGAGACCTGAGGAGAACTTACATACCAGGTGGTTAGTCTCGTCAGTGGATTCTGCCGAGGAAAACGAGCGCTGCCACAGCTCAAGCATGCAACGGGTAATAACCGAGTGCGGGACCCACTCTTACTCCTACCTCTGGGGAGGGCCTTTTTAAAACTTTCTTTCCCTAAGTGTGAGTAAGCAGCGTGCTTCAAAGTTAGTCAAGCAGAAAATTCACGAAGTTCTAGTGATTTTGAAATGACCTACCTTAATATCAGTTATTTCGCTTGTCTAGAAAGGAAAAACAAATAATTATTGTTTGAATATTATCCAAATACCACATATTTCAAAAAACCTAAAAATAATGATGTAAACATTTTGTTTCGTATTGCTTGAGGTAAAATTGCAGTGCCCATTCTTTAATTCCATGTTTATTTATCCATTCCAATTATTTCAGAGAGAATTAACTATCTCATGGGATTTTAACACATAACAGATAAGAGTTTTCTTTAATGTGAAATCTTTCAAATAATGAATGCTAGATAAGTCACATAATAGATTGCATACTTTTAAAGAACAAGGAGTTATATTTGCTCTTTTTTTTAATTCAATAGACACTTGAGATCTTTCACTTTGGGGAGTGGCTTGACTATTTAAATTATCAAAGTCAATGCCAAACCTTCACGTACAAAAAATAAAAGGGAGCAATTATAAAGTCAACTTTCTATATGAATTACAATCCTACATAAAGTGTATGTGATTAAATACTATTTTAATAAGGCATCACACTGAGGGCCATTCATCAGTGGCATTCTATTTTATGATACCCAATTAACCAATCTTTAAACAAATACATACTGTACATACATATATATATGTGCTGAGTGCTACATAGGTGATCAAGTATGAAAAAGTGACCCTGCCTTCACGGAAAATACAATAAAACTGAGTAGACGAAATTAACATGTATGAAAAAATAGTGACTCATATAAAGTGTAATTATGTATTAAATTATGTTACACCAAGTTGAACTCAAATGTTTTCTGAATCAATGAATGGCAACAACTACTGGACTAAGATCATGTAGGTGAGATAAAACAAAGCTCTGGCAATCTCTTTAATGACGTGAGCAATAATTTCCATGAAAATTTATTCATGCCTCTTACAATACAGGTGAGACCCATAAATCCACAAGTATTCAAGCCTTACCCTATGCCAAACCCTGTATGAAGAAATATAAAATATAGTACACTTCTTCCCTCAAGGAGTCTATGACTGATGAGACAAGACATACAAAAACAATTAGAAAATAAAAGACAATTCAAAACTTGATGCTAAATTGTTATACCTGTTAAAGAAAGTCAAAGAAAGAAGAAGTAAATGGAGCCTAGAGTAATTGAAGATGAATTCATGGAAGAGATATAATTTAATCTAGGTCTGAAGGGACTGGTAGGATTTATAAAGTACAACTATGTCTTTACTTTGTTAAGGAAAGCATTCAGGTGGAGGGCATATAATGGATTCATTCACTCATTCCCTCACTCACTCACTCATTGATTTGTTCATTCACTCATCTAACAAAATATTTTTTCACTGCCTCCTGCATTCAGGCACTGTACTAAGTGCTTGAGTGTACTGGGTAGGGGTTGGGTAGCTGACAAGAAATAGGCAATTTTACCATTGTACTATGATGGATGTTATGATGGTTTCAAGGACAGACACTTAACAGAGCAGAGGAAAATCAAAGAAGATTTTGTATGACATGTAAAATTTATGCTGAGTTACTTGAAACATTAATAGGGCATGGCTACATGAAGTAGGAAAAGAGAATTTTTAGCTAGAAGGAAAGCACGTGTGAAGGCCTAGAAGCAAGAAAGGGCATGAGAAAGGACCATCACATACACAGATGAGGCTAAGACAGGCCTATCTCTAGCAGAGGATTTGTGTAGGTCACTAAAGGGAAACAAAGTGGGAGAGCCAGATTAAGGAAGCAATGGAATATGAAGAGTTCTGACTTCCTACTGGAAACTGAGCACATGTCCGAAAGGAAGGATAACACAAGGAAAGGTTATGTTAGAAAAGCACGTCGTGTATGAGAAGTGGAGAGAGCTTGGAAGCCACTGGGTACTGCAGAGGAACTAACCTGGGGTGGTTGATGGATCTAGCCTCTAAGGGGGAGCATACTGCCAGAGAAACAAAAGTCAACAGCAACATTTGGGGAACGAGTAGAGGCAGGTACAGGAGGGTGAGAAGCCAGTGAATAAAACAGAAGAAACAGAGAACCACAGGATATTATAACAGTATCATGCATTTGGAGTTATTCAAACCAACTTACAACCTATGTGATCTTGGGCAAGTTGCCTAAAAACTTAAAGATTTCATTCCTTTTTCTGTGAAATGAGATCGTCACACCCAACCACCATATACTCGTTGTAAGGATATAGACAGACACTGATATATGTATTCAGCAGATTATAAGGCATGTATGTGATAAACACTCAATGAATGAGTAGCAGCTCTTTGTTATTACACAGTTCTCCCAGTTTCCCTGAATCTTTCTCATCCCTGGTCTTTGTACATTCTGTTCTCTCACCATGATTCTTTCCCACCAATCTGTCTGGTTGACTGCTCCCCAGATGCCTTTTATTGCTCCCAAGACAGGGTTAGGTAACCCCTATCAGGGTCCCTGAATTCTGAGCTTTCCTACCACTCTCTAGTGTAATTATCCAGGTAACGGTCTATATCTGGTAATATATGGTCTCCTTCTACTAATATTAAGTTTCACGAATTCAAGGATCTTGTCTGACTTATTCACAACACTCACATACTGCCAGATACACAGTAGGCATATTCAATAAATATTTACAGAATGAGTGAATGAATGAATGAATGAATGAAAACATTCTGTGGTGACTGTGGCATGCAATAGACAGAGAACCGAATAGAGAGCCCAGAAATAAACCCACACAGTATAGTCAACTAATCTTTAATAAAAGCACCAAGAACACACAGTGAGGAAAGGATAGTCTCTTCAATAAATGTTGGGAAAACTGGATATTCACAGGTGAAAGAATGACACTAGACCTCTATCTTCTACCACTCATAAAAGAATTAACTTGAAATGGATCAAAGACTGATGTATCAGACCTGAAACTGTGAAGCTAGAAGAAAACAGATGGTCAATAGACACTTGATATTGGTTCTGGCGATGATTTGTTATATATAACACCAAAGCACAGGCAACAAAAGCAAAAGCAGACAAGTGGGCCTACATCAAACTAAAAAGGTTCTTGCACAACAAAAGAAACAATCAAGAGAGTAAAGAGGCAACCTACAGAAGGGGAGAAGATATTTTACTTAGAAATTATTTAGAAAGTATTGAAACCATTGTCACATAGAATCCAGGAATATGTCAAAATTGTTAAAGTAAGACTGGGGTTGAATTTTGTCACCCCGCCAAAAAGAAGGTATGTTGAAGTCCTAACTCCTAGTACCTCAGGACATGGCCTTATTTGGAAAAAGGATCTTTACGTAGGCAATCAAGTGAAAGTGAGGTCACTAGAGTGGGCCCTAATCCAATACGACAGGTATTCTATAAATATTAGGGGAAATCTGGACACAGAGAAGGACACACATGGTGGGAAGATGATATGGAGAAACAGAGAAAGGCTGTGTGAAGACAGATACAAGGAGGATGCCTTGGGAAGACAGAGGCCAGGAATGATGTATCTATGAGCCATGGATTGCCAAAGATGGCTGGCAAATCACTAGAAGCTATCAAGAGGTGAGGAAGAACCATCCTCTACAGGTTTCAGAGGCAGCGTGGTCCTGTTGACACCTTGATTTGGGGCTTCTATTTCCAGAACTGTAAGACAAGAAGTTTCTATTGTTCTAAGTTACCTGGTTTGTGGTACTTTGTTATGTCAGCCCAAGCAAATGAATACAATGACCAAGAAAGTTTATTCCAAAAATTCAACGATGGGTCAGTATCAGGAAATGTGTCAACCATAGTCTATTATACATCAACAAATCAACAGACAAAACCCACATGGTGTCATCTATGCTGAAAAGGTATTTGATAAAAGCCAGCAGCAAATCTTAAAGACTCTGAGTATACTAGGAATAAAAAGAATTAAAACCATAATCCAAGAACAAATATTATTCTAAAAAGTAAAACTCTAAAACAATTTCATCTAAAGTCAGAAATTAGACAGTTTTGTCAGTAATCACTATTATTATTTCATATTCTCTTGGTTTAAGCAAATGCAGTATGGCAAAAAATAACTGATATGAACAGTAGAAAAAAAGAGTTGAAGTTATCTATTTTTGTTAAAATGACTGTATATCTCAAAAAACCCTAAGAACCCCTAATAAAATGCCCACTAGAATTAAAAGACAGTCTGGCTTTTTTACTATATTAGCAATAAGTTCTTATATGGAAAGAGGAAAATATTCCACTTGTAACAGTGACAAGAATTATAAAACACCGAAGCATAAATTTTAAAAAGAAGGCACAGAACCTATACAAAGAAAAGTGTAAGATCTTATTGAAGAGCATAAACTGAGATATGAAGAAATGGAAAGCCATGTCATATTCTTGGACTGAGAAAACTTACTATTATAAAAGTGTCAATTCTTTTTATTTTTTAAGATTTTATTTATTTGTCACAGAGAGAGAGAAAGAGAGACAGACACCGAGCACAAGCAGGGGGAGCGGCAGGCAGAGGGAGAAGCAGGTTCCCCACTGAGCAAGGAGCCCAATGCAGGGTCAGGACCCTGGGATCATGACCTGAGCCGAAGGCAGACACTTAACCGACTGAGCCACCCAGGCATCCCAAAAGTGTCAGTTCTTTCAAAATTATATGTAAATTTATTTTGATTCCAAATAAAACCCAACAGGAAATTATCTGGAGAAACTGGATAAATTGAACTTAACTTTCATATAAAAATTTAAATCGGGTTTTTGTTTTATATCATATGTAAAATTATAATTCAAATGGATTAAAGACTTAGATGAAAAAATGTAAAATTCATTGAAGACACTCTAACAAACAGTGTATACTATCAAGAAGTTGGAAAAACCATGTTATTCCAGGAAGAAAATTCAGAAGCTGTAAACAGATACATGTGTCTGACAGATGAAAGTGTTTTTTTAAGGTTTTATTTATTTATTTGACAGAGAGAGAGAGAGCACAAGCAGGGGGAAGAGCAGGTAGAAGCAGCGGGAAAAGCAGGCTCCCGCCAAGCAGGGAGCCTGATGGGGGGCTCGATCCCAGGACGCCGAGATCATGACCTGAGCCAAAGGCAGACGTTTAAACAACTGAGCTACCCAGCTGCCCTGACAAAAGTTGAAAACTTTTCGTATGGTAAAAAGATATAAATAGAATTACAGACAATAAATTCAGGAAATTGCTGTTGTAAACTGACAAGAAAAAAACATCCTAATAGAAAAATGAGTAAAGAATATAATTCATAGTCCACTGCCAATAAATATACAAAAATATACTCACTGTAGCCAGGGAAGTAGAAATTAAAGTACTACTGAGAAATCACTTTACACCCATCAGACTGACAAAAATCTAAAAGAGTAATAAAACCTCTTGCTGCTAAGGAGGAAAGAAAAAGGTGCGCACATACAGAGACGGGAGAAATATGATTTGACAACAAATGTTTTAAAATTAAAGCATTCAGGGGCACCTGGGTGGTGCAGTTGGTTAAGCATCCGATTCTCAGTTTTGGCTCTTTGTGATCTCCGTCATGGGATCAAGCCTCACAAGGGGCTCCACACTCAGCACGGAGTCTGCTTCAGATTCTCTCTCCCTCAGCCCCTCCTGCCTGTGTGCTCTCTCCAACAAATAAATCTTAAAAAAAACGCTTATGTTTTCATTCAGCAATTCCTTTTTTTTTTTTTTTTTAATAAAGGGTGAGAGAGGGTGGGCAGGCAGAGGGAGAGAATCTTAAGCAGGTTCCACGCCCAGTGTAGATCCCGGGGCTCGATCTCACGACCCTGAGATCATGACCTGAGCCCAAATCAAGAGTTGGACGCTTAACCGACTGAGCCACCTAGATGCCCCCAGCAATTCCATTCTTAGGAAGCTGTTCCAAGATATATGTATGAGGATGTTTTTTACAGTATTATTTATTTGTGCAAAAATCTAGAAAGAGTTGAATTAATTTCAAACGAATTGGTTCTGAAAAACAGTTGAATAAATTTTGATACATTTACATCATGGGTTATTATTAAGCCATTATACAAAATGAAATAGACCTAAACAAGTTGATTTGTAAGGATTTGCAAAGGATATTGCTGAGTGAACAAAAACAAAACACAGAAAAGTGTGTATAATGTAATCCAATTTTTAAAAAAGTTAAAACCCCAAAATAGGTATATGACTACATACCTATGTGTATATATATTCACACACACACACACACACACACACGAGTTCATAGATATGAAAAAGTACAAAATGACACATACTGAATAGTTAACCTGTGTTATCTGGTAGATGGGGTATGAGGTGGGTAGAGAAACAGAGCAAAGGAGAAAGGGAAAAGCAAGAAAAAAGAGACTGTATGAAAATCACTAGTATAAGTTGTGATGCAATTTATTAAAAATTCTATATTCTACATAAGTATATATTGATTTTCCTAAGAAATGAGGGAAAAAAAGATGTTTTCCTCCTGTCTTCTAGAGATGTCCATGATATATAGTTAAAAAGCAGTTGAGAATAATGTACTTATTATACACCTATTTCCGTAAAGGGACACTCAGCTCATCCCTTCTATATGTGTGCACGAGCCAGAAAAAAGTTATAGAAGGCTACACACTAGTTTGTTAGCACTGGATATCTCTGGAGTCCAACCTGGGATTGGAGATAGCAGTGGGATAATTAGCTTCTTCTTTACATATCTTTATGTGTTTTATTTCTTGAAAAAAACAAATCAATGAAGAAAGCCAAATGCCTATCCAAGCCAGTGTGAAGCAGGCTCAGTGTGGGCTGTGATGACGCAGAATTCACACCGAAAAACATTTAGTTTGAAATAAAAAGAAAAATAACACAAAAATCATTTTGTGAGAGGGAAAAAAAAGATACTCATGGGGGCAGGACCCAATTTAAATTTTTGTGTGTCAAGCCTTTAGAAATAAGAGTCCTAAATGTCACACAGATTTTATGTAACAGATAGGGAAACCATATATACTTTCCTTTTTATCCATCTGTCCTCCGATCACAGAATCTGTCACCAGGGCCAAAGAAGGCAGAATGCTTGAAGAATGCTTCTAACTCTCTGATGCTAGAACACTTACCATTATGGGAACGAGAACCTACTCTCACAGAAATACAGCATCATGGAGAACCCCTACTCCAACTTCCTCACGTCATAGCTGAGGAAACTGAACTGGCCACCCATGCTCATCTTTTATCCTCTCCATTCTCTCAATGGCAGGGACATTATTTTATTTTAGAATTTTCTCTCAGAGCAAATAAATGCTAAAGAAGTAACAATGGTATTTCCTTAGTTTGATAAATAAAAGTTCTATTTACATATAAAAACCCACCTTCAAGGGCTATATTGAACAAGGGAAATGAAAGGCACAGAGCCTGTTTTAGCTGCCCTGTGTTAATCTATAGAGCCACTGGTTCAAACCACAAGGTCAATCTTCAGTCATTCATTTGTTTATCCTCCCTTATATTCAATCAACATCCAGTGAACACTTACTATACCCCTGACATTTTGAGGTGCTGGTGCGACAAACATGAATAAAACGTGGTCCCTGTTCACCATCCAGTCGGGAAGTGACAGGCTACCAAACAAGTGAGACCAAAATACAAACCAAGTGTGGATGGACCAGTTCACTCTGACTGGGGTTTCAGGGGTGGCTTCATCAAGGGTAAGGCTGACATGTGAGTCAGGCCATGTAAGATGCAGGATTTCAGAGATAACAGCAGGAGCAAAAGCAAGCACGTAGCATGTTGGAGGAAACGATCAGAATTTAGCCCAATCCAAGAAAAGAGCAAAGGAGAAAACTCAAAATTCAAATGTTCCAGGCTGAGGATAAAAATTAAGTTTAATCCAAGTGCAAGATAATTTGCCACCCAACCCCTGCCTGCCTGACACACAGGAAATGCTTAGTAAATAAGGTCTGGGTAAATCCTGACTAACTCTGTAATCTCTCGGTTCGATTTACTGAATGATTTCAGCGTTATTACCATGTACCGTCCGGGGTCTAAATCTCCCATCATTCCTTTCAGGTGTGTGTTTTCTGTTCGGACAGCTTTGTATCTCATATCTGAGACCTGAAAGCAGATCGGTAGGTAAAAGTGAGTGTAAAATACATAATAAAAGCTCACAATTGTATTAAAATTAATTTTATTAACCTAAATGTTTTCTAAGTGTAGTGAAGAGAAACACTGATTAGGCATAATTATAATTATAATTTTTGGTGACTATTTCATTTCGTCTAATGTATTTATTTTTCCCTGATTTCTTCTATTTGACAGTACTTAGACATAGTATCTGCTCTTTTATCATATAGGTCTCATTTCTATATAAAACACTTCCCTTGAAATGATTTACTTTCATAGATTATAAAATATATTCTCCTTAACAAAAATCTAAAAACATAGAAAAATATAAAGATGAAAATAAGAATCATCCATAATCCAACTCTGCAGATCACTGCTAACACCTCTCAATATCTTTTCTCAGGGGTGCCTGGGTGGGTGAGTGGTTAAGCGTCTGCCTTTGGCTCAGGTCATGATCCCAGGGTCTTGGAATCGAGCCCCGCATCGGGCTCCCTGCTCGGCGGGAAGCCTGCTTCTCCCTCTCCCACTCCCCCTGCTTGGGTTCCCTCTCTTGCTGTCTCCCTCTCTGTCAAATAAATAATAAATAAAATCTTTTAAAAAAGTCTCTTTTCCCACACAGGTACAGCCTATGATATTATCCCATCTATGCTGTGTTCCTGTGTACTGTACAAATTAATCACAGTTTAAGGTTTATAATTGGACAAAGGCTGACTCTCGTTTTTATAATACACAGGGTTTAAACAGCCATCTTTTTGGTGAAGTGACCCTCAAATGCCTAGAAAGTTATAGAATGGTGCTCTCAAAGCCTCTCGATTTGGAGAGAAAAAAAAACAAAAACAGATAACCCCTATGCTTTTAATAACAGGTCACCAATTTGATGATGAGTAAGGGATTGAGGGAATTTCAAAAGAAATAGGAAGAAAGGAAGGGAGGAAGGAGGAAAAAAGGAAGGGAGGGAGGACTTTGAAGTTACTTGCAGGATTTTAATAGCAGAATGGTATAATTGCTGTTTTTTTACCATGAACCATGCTGTGCATTGAGTCAATGTTCAGTAAATATGGACTAATTTTCATGTTTCAACATCCTTTTTTAAAATCCCAAGATATGGGGTGCCTGGGTGGCTCAGTCGGTTAAGCATCTGTTTTCTGCTCAGGTCATGATCCTGGAGTTTTGGGATGGAGCCCCACATCAGGTTCCTTGCTCAGCGGGGAGCCTGCTTCTCCCTCTGCCCCTCAACCTGCTCTCATGCTCTCTCTCAAATAAATAAAATCTTAAAAAAAAAATCCCAAAATACATACATAAAATTGGGGTGAGAAGTATCTACAAAAAGCTGGAATAGAGGCTTTTTTTTTTTAAGACAAAAATATTAGTGGAACTACAGGACACCAATTCAAGAAGAAATCTTTGACTAGAGCATACTGTGGGAGGTGATCAAAATATGGTTCACAAGGAAATGTTAGGATGAGATTTAATGCAATTATCTTGTGTCGTCACTTTTGCCCTCGTTCTGTTTTGATGACACTTTGCATTATTTTGTAAAGGCTTTATGTGGCTCCAGCAAGCATTTCTGTGAGGCTAGTCTCAGACTGAACACTGAGAAATGCAGTGCTTTGCTGGTCATCGAGGAAAACCACGGTCTGCACTGGGCAAGACAGTGACCCGGACAAGGGTGGTCCTGCCCGCTTGCGTACCTGTTGTTTTGCTAACATTTTTTCTTTTATTTCTAACTCCATTTTTAACTGTTTTTCCAGAAGGGCAGCTTTCTTCATGATAGTTGCTATAGTGATCTCCTTCTGATGAAGCTCCTCTGTTAGGTCAGAGATTTCATTCCTCATTCTTTCCTGCTCAGAGCCATGGTACTCTTCCTCCTGATAGAGTTGGCTTCTTATCTGCAGCAGAGACATTCCGGCAAATATTAACAAATCTTTTTATTTATCAAGCAGCTTAAAGCTTGTGTTCAGTCTTCCTGTCCTTTGGCAGGCCCCACTTTACCCTCCTTTTCCGATCAGTGCTGAATTAAAAACAGATACTTACAATAAATGACTCATTTAACTTTTTTCCTTTCAAATTCAAAATTCCATTTCTCACTTCTATTTTCTATTGGATGCAAATCGTCACTTACTACTGATGCTACTTTGATAACTACTTTGACAGGAAGATGAAGAAAATATTATCAAGCACTTACCTCCCAGCATAACTGAGGGATAATTAGTATACAAAAACTGCACATAATTATCGTAGACAGTTTGGTGAATTTGGACATACACTCATGTTACTATCACCACAATCAATATAATAATCATACCCATTACCTCCAAAAGTTTCTTTGTGTTCCTTTTTTTGCTTTACATTTGTGTGTGTGTGTGGTAAGAACACTTAACATGGGATCTACCCTCTTAAAATTTTAAGTGTCAACTATAGACACTGTGCTGGAACTTCATACCCGTCAAACGACCACTGCAGAATGCATGGTGGAAAAGCCTTAGACCCACTAATCAGAGGCGGACGGACCAAGCATGTTTTTAGGGAGAAAAAATTGGCCGAGAAAGGTTAAGTGACTTGCTCAAGGTCATAAAGCTATTAACTGGCAGAGCTGGGACTAGAACCTAGGACTCTTAGCTTTAAATTCAGTGCCTTTTTGACTAACTTGTGTGTACTGTTTATGACTAAATAGTATGTTTTTCAGAATCATGTTATAATAAATTTCAAACTTAATGTGTGTCTGAAAATGCATCACCTCCCTCCCCTTAAGCCTGTGGAGTCTCTTGTTCTTAACCAGGTTAGGCCTTCCCTGTCAGCAACCTCTGGATCACCTTGGGCTCCTCCCTACCCTTGTTGTGCCAAATGCAGTCAGGCAGCAAATTCTGTCCCTTGCACTTCAACTTCTTCTAAATCTCTCCTCTGCTCTCCATTTCTACTACTACTGTCTTGATCCAGCCTCTTACCACCTTTCTAGAAATCATTCACTGTCTCTAATTCTTGAGATTTGAAGATAAAGTGAATAGTCAGCAATCTCAAGAAAATCATAGTCCATTGGGGGAAACAAAAATCAACAGTTACAACACAGAGTAGCAATCCACGTCAGCGGTATGTGGGGGAGGGGTATTTAACCCAGCCTGGGGATGTCAGGATGGGCTTCCCAGAGGGGGAGTGGACATCAGACAAATACTGAAGGACGAATGGAAGCCAGATGGAAGGCAGGGATGGAGAAGGACCCAGGGCAACGAGTGCAGGGAAGACTCTGGGGGTGAAAGAATGCACACCCAGTGAAGCAAGACGAGTCTCGGGTGGCTGGGACGCGGCGTGTTGTGAGAAATAAGGCTGGAGAGTTTAACGGAGCCCATCCATGAAGAGATTTAAATGAATTTCCTCAGGGCACTTACTTCTAAAATTGATTTTTTTTTCATTTAATCTTTAAAGATTTCAGGATCTATCTGTAAAAGAATAAGGGCACTCTTTCTTTTTTTAACGTAGCCAGAACACCAATATAAGATCTTAAAAATATTAGCAATTCCTCAATATCATCAAATATCCAGGAAGTATTCAAATTTAAAAATGTATCAGGACTGTAATGAATGTTTTTTGTTTATCTGAATTGGGATCTAAATATGGGGACTGGCTCATATCTTTATAAATCTCCTCTTTTGTGTGTGTTTGTGCGTGTTCTATGTAGTCTACATACATCATCTCATTTAATCCCAGCAACAGTTCTCTATTTTGCAGAATGAGAAGTTAAGTACGTAACTTTTCACCGTCACATTCCTGGCGATAGGCAGTCTGATTCCAAGACCTTACCCACCGTGCTATGTAACCCCTATGAGCCGAACTCTGGAAGGTTGTTCACACAGTGGAAAAAGCTAGTGTGGGATGACCTAATGTGGAAAGGATGCATGTCCCGAAGGAAAACCTGATCTGTCCTCAACTCTATACCACCAACCCCTCATGTGCTTCTATTCCTATTATTAATATTTTTAGAGTTTCAGAGTTGGGGGGGGGCGCCTGGGTGACTCAGTTGGTTAAGCATCTGACTCTTGATTTTGGCTCAGGTCATGATCTCAGGGTCGTGAGATCGAGCCCCATGTTGGGCTCTGCACTGGGTGTGGAGCCTGCTTAAGATTCTCTTTCTCCCTCTCCCCCTGCCTCTCCCTCTGCCCCTTAAAAAAAAAAAAGTTTCAGAGTTGGACATGACCTTAGGGGTCTCATGGTCCAACCCCAACCCCATCATTGAACAGATGAGAGAGAGAGAGAAAAAAAAGAAGACTCCCAGGGAAGGGAATGGACTGGGCCCAAGTTATCCAGCTCCTAGGAGCAAAAGGGAAGACTGGGAGAGAGGAGTACAAAATACCCTCACCCCGAGGACAGTGTTACAAGTCTCCTTTCATCTCCAGTCTTCTCTGATTTTTTTCTTTACAATTTATTTGATGAAACAACGGGGTTCTTCTGTGGTTTATCCCAGTTTGGATTTTGCTGATTGCATCCCTGTTGTGTAGTTAACAGTTTCCCTTAAAATGGAACTTTCAAAATGTAAAAAAAAATGAATATACTATTATGAAAAAGGAGTAAACTGTTTTTATTACTTTCAGAGCATTTAGATATTAAAACAACATGCTCTACTGCAAAGCTTCCCTCTAAATGAGATTAATTTACCGATCTCTAAATGACTTTTGGCTTTATTAAAAATGTCAATTTTATCACGAAGTACATGACAAAAATAGTTCTACACTGAAAAAAGAGAAAGAAATAAAACACTTGCAAGATTCCTAATACATGGTTCTTGTTGCTTTTATTACAAGAGAACGAAAATGCTCTCCAAAAACACTTCCTGGGAGCTATAGCTATTTATACACAATTCATTTGTTACCTTTTCTGCACAGCAGTGCATTATCTAGAGGTCTCCAAGAGCCTATGAAGAGAATTTGTGCCTAGTATTCTCTCCTTCCATATTGAAACTGTGCGATGTCAGTAGATTCCTTGTTATTCAAAGTGTTACTGAGTCTGAGGTTAAGAACGGTGTAACTATACTTCAGGTGGCTTTAATCAACCTTTGTATCATAATGCCTTCATTGGGGATACCAACAAACAAAGAGTTTTTTAAAGTTATATGTTTAAATAGCAGTGAAATCAATTTCATGGGATCATGTGAAAAATAAAAGGAAAATGATCATTAATTCATAACAACTTTTCTACACTTAATTTAAAGCTACTTGACAGCTCTGTGGGAGACAGGATTTGTCTTTTGCATCACTGCATTTCCTACAGAAACAAGCAGAATAGCTGTAGTCCTACTAGATGCTCAATAAATATATGTTGAATTTATACAAATGGCCACTGAATTTATGAGCCGATACAATTACGGGAGACCTTCACCTTGATATTGATTCATTTGTTCTCCAAATATTTATTTTCACTTTTGTATGTCAGGCGCTGTGCTGGGATAGATAATGATTCGAAGCCATGCCCAGGTTGTCCCTACTTTTAACAACGGTTTAGATCATATAGCATTGAATATTTAGGTGTGATCCTCAAACCTAAAGACCAGAGATGTGGGTAGTAGCCATGATAAGCTCATGGAAAGGAAGCCCCTACTGGATTTTGCTAGAGGGAGAAGAGAATATACTTTTTGTAGAGAGTTGAAAACCACAGGTTTTCTAGGACAGGGCCCAGGCTTATTCATCCTTGTGTTCCTAGCTCCTGGCAGATTACCTGGCATGGGTTAGGTGCTCAGGGACAAAAGGTAACCAATAACAGTAGCAGCCTTCACTCACTAGGTGCCTCCTCTGAGCTAGGCAGGCCTTGTTCTAAGCTCTTTACATGCATTTTTTAAATGGATTTTAACTTAAGGGAAGAGTATGAGCTCTGGAGTCAGATTGCCTGGATCTGAACCTGACCTCTGCTGCCCAATAGCTGTGTAATATTGGGGGAAATTACCCAACTTCTCTGTGCCTCAATGTCGTCAAATGGGAAAAAAAGATAATATTAGTACCTTCCTTATAGGGTGGTTGTGAGGAATCAATGAGCTGAGATTTGTTAGGCCCTCAGACAGCCCCTCCTGGCCCATGGGGAGTGCTATTAAGTAGCAGGGTTATTGGTATCCCCTTTAAGCCTCATCGCAGTTGTTTGAGGCAAGTGCTAAGGATCCCACCCCCATCCTAGAAATGAGGAGCCTGAGCAACTTGCACAGCAACTTCCCCGAGCTTAGGTACCTACTAGATGGTTGGAGGCCTGAGTCTGGGCTCTCACACTTCTTGCCATAAGCTACTTGCAATGAAGCCACAGTCTCCCAGTGGCACAATGAAGACCTAAGGTTTGTGTTTGTTACAGCATCACGCAGAAGAATGTCAGAATTAGCAGCCTGGTAGGTTATTATCTTAGGGGAAAATATAGAAGGGAAAAGAAGGGAATGAGAAGGAAGGTTTTTTTCCTCCGTTTGTGTTCAGGGACTTCAGATCTGCCTGGAAGAATGAAGCCCATTATTTTCCATACCTTGTTCAATTCTTTTTCATGATTTGGTTGATCTAGGGTCACTGAAAACAGCTCTTTCCTTTTCCTTTCTGGTTCTTTAGTAGAAGGTGAATAAGATGATTCAAGTCTACAAATTAAATAATGTGAATAAAAATTAACCTTGACTTGGTAAAGTCTCATGATTATATTGTTAATTTACACTATTGTAGGCTGCAGAGATAGATTATTAGTTTATTGGAAACATTTCTAGTTCCAGATTGCAAATTCTAATACATTCAGATCCCCTAAGTATTTACATATTTAACTGAGTGCAAACGGTTTGAGTGAAAAAAAAAGGTAACAATTAATATGGAATTTCAATTATGTCTTGAAAATTGGCAGAATACTGGGTTTGCATATGTAGATAAGATTTTTATATAAGAAGACTGTTTCCTATAATAAGATAGCTTGGGAACCCCTTAAAAAAAAAAGGAAACACATCTAACTTGCTTGTACATCATGGAAAGGAACCATGTTAGGAGAAGTCTGAGGGGAGCAACTACTCCATAAAAGTGACCCAAAGTGACTAAATCTGACAGTCTACCCACAGAAAGTTCAAATACATCTGTTCTCTGGCTGCTTAATTTATAAAGTGGAATTGCCATCACATATGGATACCAGAGGGGAAAAGCAGAAACTAGTATGAAAAGTACAATTTCTACAGGAAGTTTGGAGAAGTACAAGCAGGTTCACTTCTAGATCAGGAAAGCTGATAAATGAAAAATCATTAAAACAGAAAATAAAGATAGCCAGGCAAGGACAGTAGCATGCTTTCTATTGCTTGACTAATCTGGTCAAGTCTGGCGTTTTGAGGAATGTGCCTACCTGTAAGTGAATACAAGTTCAGATTTCCAAAGAACTTTTTAAAAGGTTCCATAAATCACAAACTTAAACCACACAAAACAAAATCTGAGCAATGATAGAGAAATAACTGATGTAAACATTGAAAATGAAGGGATCTTTTAAAAGGTGTAAATTTATAGTGATATCTTGAGGTACTTGTATCTAGACCGGGTTGCCTTTCTTCTGATTATCAAATACATGTGTTAACTGTAGAAAACAGAGTGTATCAGAGTATATGCTGCTATAATGTTATCATCGGGGAAAAAGCATTGTTGGCATTTTTGTGTATATTAATTGTCTTTTTTTCTATGTATGTGTGTATAAATACATGTTTCCCATACAGTTAGAATATACAGTACACATTATTTTTCAGTCCCCTTTTGTTTCCTACTCAGTAATATAGTGTGAGCATTGTATCCAGTATTCTCCTCCAACATTATTTCAGAATCAGTCTTAAATTTTTCTTATTTGCTTTTATTTGAAAGGGGTGAAAAATGACATTTCCTATTTTTCAATTCTTCCTAAGCAATTTCAGGGAGTGGAATGCTGAACTGATTGGGAAAAAAACAAAAGAACAACAACAACAAAAAACAACCTCATGATGGTCTCGGAAATTTCACTGAGCAACTGGAACAAATGTCAAATGTCAATGTGGACAAGTTCAAAGGAGAAAACAATAATTATGCTAATACAACATGCTAATAATAATATATAAAGGAATTATCATTTGTCATGTAGGAAAGGAGTGTTGGAATTATTTTTAATAACTCTCAGAATGTATCAGCCCAAGGTGCTTCTGTAGCTAAAGAAAAAGGAAAAGCTAACAAAATCTTACCATTATTGAGAAAGGTTCTGAAAATGAATAAAAGCATTACTATGCTACGTGTATAAAACTGCACTTAGGAGCCTGGGCTGCTTCACCTTAATACAACTGGAAAGAAGAAACAGAGTCCAAAGGAAAGAAACCCAACCAGTAAAGAGGCTAGAATCAACTTCATATGAGAACAAACCAAAAGGATGAGAAACTTTCAATGGGAAAGATGAAGGCTAAGAAGACTAGGCCCAAAGTCTGAAATACAATGGAAGCTGTGAAAAGATAAATTATCTGTCTTTCCATCAGATCTCAGAATAGAAGAACTGAGGAATACCCTCCAAATAAGAAAGCTACAGTTTGGAGACCAAAACAAATACCAACTTAAATAAAGAACGGCATTAGGCACAACAACAGAATTGTATTGACCAAATATGTGAATAACTGTGAGATTTTAGATGAAGTCATGTCTTGAAGGAAAGTTGGCAAGGTCTGGAATTCAGCACTAGCCTTGTGACACAGATCCACAGAAAGTACTACAATGCTCTTCCATAAAACCACAGTTACACAGTGTGTGAAAAGTTTGCTTTTCTAGGAAATTTCTTATGTTTTTAGGCATATACATCCTTAGTACAAAGACATTTCTCACCAACTCACCACACTGGCGCCTCATATTTTCCCAGTAGATTTATTAATCATCATTGATGATGATCTATAGCTTGCATATGGAGCACTCTATAATGCTAACTGGCTAATAGGCATTCTACCATCCTTGGTGAGACATAAGATAGGTCATTTTTAGGAAGCTAAATTTGCCATTTGTTTAACTGTAGAGCTCAAAAAAATTCGAGCAGGTCCTACAACTTAAAGAAATAATCATTGCCTTTAAAACAAGGTAATCATCTTTCAACAAAATATCCCTTACCATTTGGTTAGTCAGTTTTTAAAATCCTATCATTGGCCTTGAGATCTGAGAAGGATTCAAGTTCCAATGAGAATTTGAACATCAATGAATGGTTCAAACAGACTTTCTACTCACAAGCATAAATATTTCATAATCCTTAGCAGTCCCATTTCCCTGTGGTTCTGGAATACACAATATCTGTCTGATTTTTAAAGGAGGAAAAAAACCTGTTGTAACAAAACCCTTAATGGAACTGACAAGATAGTGAGTATGGAGACCAAAAGAAATACAACATTTACAAGTGAAAAAGTTAGTAACAGGTTTATAGACAGTCAAAATAAAAGCATTTGAAAATATGGAATAAATCTTATTTATCAATATATACAATTAAATATCAGCTCTATACTACTTTTTTTTACAATATCCTGAAAAATAAAAGTTCCAAGAAAATATCTGACTCACTATGATACATAAGTATCCATAAATCAGAATATGATACAATTATCTAGGTAAGTAAACATACTCATTTTGAAGATGAAATGATCATGGATTTTATTTTTAATACCAAATGTTATCCAATAATTAACAGCATGTTAATACAAAACAAATAGACTTTTAATTCTAGTTTTAAATATAAAACTCTTAAGATACTCAGACATCGTGTCTTGAACTGTTTCTCTCAGGCTGCTGAGAATAAGAATATACCTTTTTTTACTTTCTTGAGTATTTTGGCACTCTCCTATTTTTAATAATTCTCTGTGCAGCTGCAATCGTTCCATTTCTATAATTCTCAAGAGATCATCACGTGACTGTAACTCACTTTTCACCTCTGAGAGTCCTGCTTCCATGGCCTACATAAAAACATCAAACAGGTCCAGTGCTCACATTTGGATATCATGATTACAATATATTTAAAAACATTTAACATCTATGAACCAGCCTAATTCCAGATTAACTGGTGTCGAGTCCTTGGTTGGCTCTGTCTTACAGAATTTCATTCCTTCATTCATTTACTCAACAAATATTTGCTGAGTCCTCATTATGTGCTCAACACTGAAGTTACATAGACTCTGTTCTCAGTGGGCTTATAGTCTAGTGATAAGGAGTAATCATTAATCACACAAATCCAGGCACACTGTATGTGAATCTGAGAGAATCATAAAGGTATGTAAAAAATATTAATGTGTAAAATTTGGATTAATGCCAACAATGCCCAATTTAAAGACAGTAGCCAGGAAGAATCTAATTTCAAAGCTGGCCTACACAGTGAGTTATAAACCGTGGTCTATGGCTCCACTGTTGCCCAGTAATAGCCCTACTTTATCTGGCAACTAGAAACACCAGCAATCCTGTGAATCCAGTGTTTTATTTTGTTGATAAGAGGCTTGAGCAAGTTTAAAAGCTGTTGGAAAGGGTCCAGGCAGGAGAGAGGAGGAGTAACGGTAATGGTGTTGGTTCCTGGGAAGGTAGGTGGAGTGGGTCCCAAAGCCCAGGTGGAAGAATTGCCTAAAGCAAAAGGAAAGAAGGAAGGAAGATGGAATGTAGACAGGTGTATGCAACTGGATATGGAGAGATAAGACAGCGGCTCTCTGTTGGCTTCTATTTTCCTTGTGAAGTAAAAAGATGGCACTAGAAGGAGAAGGGGAGATAGGGGCAAGGGAATGATTTTTTAAAAGATTTTATTTATTTGAGAGAGAGGGAGAGAGAGAGCGTGCATGGGGGTGGGGTGGGGGGAAGAGGGGCAGAGGAAGAAGCAGACTCCCTGCTAAGTGGGAGCCTGATGCAGGCTCGATCCCGGACCCTGGGATCATGACCTGAGCCAAAGGCAGATGCTTAACTGACTGAGTCACCCAGGCGTGCCCATGGGAGTGATTTTTGAGAGTGGAGAAGGTTTGAAATGGCCTGCAATGAAATGTATAATTAGCTGATTGGAGCAACAGAAGAGGATTCCTGGCAGTGTTGAGTACTCATTTGAGATTTGTGACCATGACCCGATGAGTGATTTTCTCCAGCAGTACTTGGCTGTTCTATGGGAGAGAGGTTATGGCAGAGTCCTTTCAAATCACCAGGTTTCTTCTACTCACTTATGCAGGGAAACTAATATTTATTAAATGTACCTGACCCAGGTCATCAAATCCATTGCCACTTTTAGTAGATGAGGAAATTGAGGGCCAGACTTGGTCCAGAGTCACAGAGCTTACAAGTGGCAGATTTTAGAAAAGACAAATCCAGGTCTTTTGGAACATTCAAAATGCAAAAATAATTTGTTTCATGCAACATTAGTGAAACAGTCCTGTAGTTTATTGGCAAAGACAGGGTGGGGTGTTACGAGGGCAGGAGGTTTCTCTGCTAATAAAGGCTGTAGGAAACACTACGGACATCTTTAAAAATCATTTGTTTAATAACTCTGTATATATCAATAACAGATTTATATATAATCCACGTACCATAATATTCACCCATTTACAGTATGTAATTCAGTGGACTTAGTATGTTCATGAAGTTGTGCAGGCATCACTACTAATTCCAGAACATTTTCATCACAACCAAAATAAACCCAAAACCCATGAGTAGTCACTTCCCATTTTCCATCCCCCTAGTCCCTGGCAACTACGAACGTACGTTCTGTCTCTATGGAACTACCCATTCTGGACATAGTCTTTGCGACTGGCTTCTTTCACTCAGCATAATGCTTCCAAGGTTCATCCATGTTACAGCATGGATCAATATTTTATTCCTTTTTGGTGATGGATAATATTTAATTGTATGAATATACCACATTTTTGTTTATTAGTTCATCAGTTGCTGGACATTTGATGTTTCTTCTTTTTGGCCATTATGAATAACACTGCTATAAAATTTCATGTACAAGCTTTGGGCATATATTTTTTTTTTTTTAAAGATTTTATTTATTTATTTGACAGAGACAGAATAGCGAGAGCAGGAACACAAGCAGCGGGAGTGGGAGAGGGAGAAGCAGGCTTCTCCTCAAGGAGGGAGCCCGATGTGGGACTCGATCCCAGGACCCTGGGATCATGACCTGAGCTGAAGGCAGACGCTTAACGACTGAGCCACCCAGGCACCCTGGGCATATGTTTTCTTATTCATTAATTCTTACCCCAAAATTCACAGAGCCTAGAAATATAATTATGCAGACAGTATAGGACATATGAGTTCCCAGAGAAACTTTTTTTTTTTTTTTTTAACCAAAGCCTTAAATTTATACATTTTCCAGGAGACCTAGAGACCTGGGTTTGGGGAAGGACCTCGCTGTAATACTTTTTTTTTTTTTTAAAGATTTTATTTATTTATTTGAGAGAGAGAAAATGAGAGAGAGCACATGAGAG